TGTGTATATGTGTGTGTGTGTGTGTGTGTTGTTAGGTGAACAGGGACAGTAGGTGTCTTATGGAAACACGTCCTATTCTTTTTAGCCGTACCGGGGATCGATCCCTGGACCTCAGTGTATGAGCTGAGTGCGCTAGCGATCGAGCTACAGGAAGGTGTGTGTATGAGGGAAGGTGGACGTCCGGGGAATAACTATACAATACTGTAATATATTTAACAGAGACAGAAACTCTGGAGCCTGACAACAGTCCTTTGTCATCTCTGTAATTCTGGATCTGCGCTGCTGCCCACACCATCAACACTGCTGCCCACACCATCAACACTGCTGCCCACACCATCAACACTGCTGCCCATACCATCAACACTGCTGCCCACACCATCAACACTGCTACCCACACCATCAACACTGATGACCACACCATCAACACTGATGACCACACCATCAACACTGCTGCCCACACCATCAACACTGCTGCCCACACCATCAACACTGCTGCCCACACCATCAACACTGCTGCCCACACCATCAACACTGCTGCCCACACCATCAACACTGCTGCCCAACCATCAACACTGCTGCCCACACCATCAACACTGCTGCCCACACCATCAACACTGCTGCCCACACCATCAACACTGCTGCCCACACCATCAACACTGCTGCCCACACCATCAACACTGCTGCCCACACCATCAACACTGCTGCCCACACCATCAACACTGCTGCCCACACCATCAACACTGCTGCCCACACCATCAACACTGCTGCCCACACCATCAACACTGCTGCCCACACCATCAACACTGCTGCCCACACCATCAACACTGCTGCCCACACCATCAACACTGCTGCCCACACCATCAACACTGCTGCCCACACCATCAACACTGTTGCCCACACCATCAACACTGCTGCCCACACCATCAACACTGCTGCCCACACCATCAACACTGCTGCCCACACCATCAACACTGTTGCCCACACCATCAACACTTCTGCCCACACCATCAACACTGTTGCTCACACCATCAACACTGCTGCCCACACCATCAACACTGCTGCCCACACCATCAACACTGCTGCCCACACCATCAACATTGCTGCCCACACCATCAACACTGCTGCCCACACCATCAACACTGCTGCCCACACCATCAACACTGCTGCCCATACCATCAACACTGCTGCCCATACCATCAACACTGCTGCCCACACCATCAACACTGCTGCCCATACCATCAACACTGCTGCCCACACCATCAACACTGCTGCCCACACCATCAACACTGCTGCCCATACCATCAACACTGCTGCCCATACCATCAACACTGCTGCCCACACCATCAACACTGCTGCCCATACCATCAACACTGCTGCCCACACCATCAACACTGCTGCCCATACCATCAACATGTGATGAATGGTTTAGAAAACCAACAAGTTGAAGAATTGAGACACTTATGCAACACATGGGAATCTTTATTGAAGAAACGTTTCGCCACACAGTGGCTTCATCAGTCCAATACGAAGTAGAAATGGGTAAGGAGAGGAGAAGTTTGAGGTAATCAATCCCTCAACCTGGAATCGATGTGTCCAGTCCATCACTCTTGTAGGAAGTGCAGCATAGGGCCAGAGAGGTGGCTTATATACTGCAGTGAGATGAGGTGAAGCAGGAGGAGGCGGGATCACAGTGGGACCTGCCACTAGTGTAAGTAGGTCGTCGTCCAAAGATTGGACTGATGAAGCCACTGTGTGGCGAAACGTTTCTTCAATAAAGATTCCCATGTGTTGCATAAGTGTCTCAATTCTTCACCATCAACATGTGTCAGGTGTGACACATGTAAGGAGAGTGTTAGGTGTGACACATGTAAGGAGAGTGTCAGGTGTGGCACATGTAAGGAGAGTGTAGGTATGACGCATGTAATGTGAGGCAGATGTGACACTTGTGAGTGCCAGGTGTGATACATGCAATGTGAATGCCAGGTGTGACACAAAAGTGACACACTTGACATGTAATGTGAGAGTGCCAAGTGTGAAACAAATAAGGTGAGTGCCAGGTGTTACACATGTAATGTGAGAGTGCTAGGTATGACACATGAGTGCCAGGTGTGACACATGTAGTGTGAGTGAAGGAAGACATGAGTCACGTCATGCACGACACATTAAGTCACAGGTGGTTCAGTCGTAACCCTCCTTCACCACGCACCTGCTTCAGACCTTCCATATACCTTTAATGAGTTCTGAGAGTTTTTCTACTGCCCGGCCATGGGCCAGGATCGTCTGGTGTTGGCCTGGTCAACCAGGCTGTTGCTGTTGGTGGCCCGCTGCCCCACATATCCATCACAGTCTTGCGCCTAAAACATAGCAGGCATGCACATCAAACGCTAACACACAAACGTTGCCCACAAATGATCTCTAAACGCTGCATGCACAAACCGCATTTAAACACTGCAGACCCACTGAAGGAACACAGTGTGAGTCAGGATGTAAACACGTCAACACAAGAGTGTAAGTGTAAACACAACGTCAACACAACAGTGTGAGTGTAAATACAACGTCAACACAGTGTGAGTCAGTGTAACCACAACACAGTATGAGTCAGTACAAACAATAAAATTGGGGTTATCGTGCATGAATAAAAAAAGATCTACAAAGATCTATACACCAACAGTTAGAAAATAACACAAGTCGAAAAATAACTTAAAAAACACAGTAACACATAATTTAATCTACCAAAAATAAGGCAGACGCTTGTGAGTTATAAATGTATTACTGAACACCATGGTCACCCCAGTGTGGGGGAGGACACCCATAACCCAGCCGTCCATGGGCGTGCAGGGGCGTGCGGGGGGTGGGGGCGTGCAGGACGGACACTAGGCAGCAGCAGGTGCTGCCACTAACCTGGACAGGTGTAAGGAAGGTTATAACAAGGCGTCCATCACACCATTCGTAGAGGGCACTCTGACACCCCTCACTGCTGGAGCTCTTCCCTCCCTTTCGCTTCCTTCTCTCTTCTTCCTTCTTCCACGCCTCTACTTGCTTTCTCCACTCCTCTTCCTCCTTCAGGCGCCTATTTTCCTCTTCCTTCTTCCTTCTCTTCTCTTCTTCCTCTCTTTCCTTCTGTCTCCTCTTGTAAATCTCTTTCAGCCTCTTTCTCTCAAGGGCGTCACTGCTGGGGTGTGCACAAAGAGATATGACCCCAAGATAAGTACACACATCCACCTCAACATTCCACTATGAAACACCACATGGTTTGTGCACATACAATACACATACCGCTGTCTCACCCGCATCACGTATCACTAATCCAACATTAATTCGCCAAGAGTTCTGCAGGTTCACAGAGACACTTAAAAAAAGGTTCAGAACTGACAAGAGAAAACTGAACTGGTGTGGTACCAGACTCGTAAACACAGAGATAGGCTTTTAAACATGGCTGCGGCGGCACTGACTTCCGAAACCGTCTTCAGGTGAACGATAAGATTAATTGGCTAACACCAAACTTTAAACGAGATGAGTGAATTGTAGTTTCTTAGATTTCAGAAAAAGTTGCGACAATTCCTTACGTAAGACTGATCTGGAAATTGCAAAATATTGGCGTTATAAAACTCAGTATATTAATAGTGGATGAGATGCTTCTTGTAAAGCCTTTTTGCATACCAACAGCCACAGCCCAGTGGTGAGAGTCGCGCCTCTCATCACTGTGGTCCTGGATCAAAACTTTTGGCTCATCAATGTCTGGGTTAGCGATAACTGAGGTGGATGACAGCTGTAAATCTTTACCCCGGGTCATACCTCTTTAGGGTGGTGTATGAAGGACGGGGAGAGCAGAGTGGATCAGAGGGTCGTGCAGTCAACCAGGAGTACACGTCCAGTTCTTCCACCATAATACGTCCTGACCTCACCATCTCTGACCCTCTCTATTATACACGTTGATGGGTTGAAACTGGTAGTGAGGTGGTGGTAACGATGTGTTGTGGAGTCGTCCATTCGTCTCGTGGAGCTGCCTCCAGACCTTTTTCCTCTGGAGCTGTGATTTGTGTCTTATGCTGTGATGTCCTACTGGATATTGTCAGAGGGTCCTTTTAACTAACTGCTGCAGGGGCTGCCTCAGCCCTTCCTGCTGGAGAGGTGCCCCTCCTGCCGGAGAGGTGCCCCTCCTGCCGGAGAGCTGCCCCTCCTGCTGGAGAGCTTCCCCTCCTCACCCCAACACAACACCGCCTCGTAGTCACCAGGGAACGAGCAAGTTTTCTGTATGGTTGATATAGCAGCACTGGTGACCTGTGATGGCTCCACTAGACACTGTGCTATGGTTCACCACCAAACTCGTCTTAAGTGGCACTTTCAGTCATCTCAATGCGTACACCTGGAGTAATGAGTAGCTTGTATAGCGTTGTGTGCGTGAAGCAGGTTATGGCACGCGTGTACGAGGTAGCTTGTGGCGTGCGTGCGTGTCAAGATCGACCAGGATATAATTTGAGGAGGGGAGCGAGTGTGAGTGACGGGGCGGGGAGGTCACAGGTCTGACAGTGATCACAGCCGACCAGCTACTGAGGTAGCCAGGGTCCTGTAACCTGCTCCTGTGGCGTCATCCTCATCGAGTCCGACCTGCGCACCACTTAACCTGCTTCAATATGACATAGCGGTGACCCGGCGTTGACCCACCATCCTCCCGGGTAACATACTGTGTCTGAGGATGATGCCAGATGACTCGTCGCTGTCATAAACGCTCCAAGATGGCGCTGAGGTTACATGCAGTGGCACACAACACAAGTCACCATCGCTGTGCGGTGGTCACCTGAGGCAGCAATGTCTCAGCTACAACCCTAGCTGAGGCAAGTAAACTGCATGGTGCAACTACTGGAAGATATTATTACATAAGATCCCCAAACTAAACCACAGAGCCAACCCTTCACCCTCATCCTGTAAGATATCAATACAGACTCGTCTGTCCTCCCAGACAACAGACTCGTCTACCATCGTTCCTGGCGATCACTTACCATGTTCTCCTTTTCAGATTCGCCCTTCTTCTTCTTCTTCTTCTTCTTGGACTTTTTCTCGCCATCTTCGGACTTCTTCTTCTTCTTGTCGGTGGTGGTGGCGCTGACACCGTTCTCCCTGTGTCTGCGTCCCTTCTGGTCCACGCAGGCCTCGCCCTCCTGCGGTCACAAAGTCACCAAGTCACAAGGAGGGATGCTTGGGGAAAGGGGTAATTTACACACAGTCTGACTCAAGATGGCTAGATTCAAGTTTCAAGGTCATGGTAAGGTGCCTTAATAATGAAGTCAAGATCATGGTAAGGTGTTTTAATCATGTCAAGGTCAAGGTAAGGAGCCTTAATAATGAGGTGAAGATCATGGTAAGGTGTTTTAATCATGTCAAGGTCATGGTAAAGTGCCTTAATCATGACGTCAAGATCATGGTAAGGTGTTTTAATTATGTCAAGGTCATGATAAGGTGCATTAATGATAAGGTCATGGTCATGCTAGGTCAAAGTTAGGTTGGGTCAAGGGGTAACTGAAATAGATAATTAGGTGACTATTCATCAGTCAACAAGTCTACGTGTGAGTGACAACAAGTGCTACACTAGTGGTCCATGCCACGCGTGATGACCGGGTCACACAGCCAGCTGCTACCTGGCACTACACACAACTACAGCCACTGGGGAGAGGAAGATCAGTGACCCACCCACATGCTGCAACACCACACGTGGTATTCAATCAACAGGATCAGTACAAGGTAGTGTGAAGGCTGGGTAGGTTGTGATACCCTGGGCTTCAACTACGCCAACCCTGCTATGTCAGTAGTGTTACTGTGTACTTGTGTAGTATATTTAGATAATCCCAGCTGCTTTATAGATAGGCTCCCTTCTTGCGTGACGTTCAACGCTAGGATCAGACTTGACAGGCAGGCTTGAGTTTCTCCTCAAGACTCTTAATTAATCATATGACTCCTAGACAACCCAACGTGTGTATTACTTACTCCAATATGAGTGTGTGTGTGTGTGTGTGTGTGTGTGTGTGTGTGTGTGTGTGTGTGTGTGTGTGTGTGTGTGTGTGTGTGTGTGTGTGTGTGTACACTACCCACCGTCGTGAGGATGTTAGTCTCCACTGCACCTTCACCACGTTCCTCGTCTCTCATCTCCTCATTATCGTACTTAATGAGAGCAGTACGACGAGGACCTTCCTCCGCCTCATCCTCCTCATCGTCGTCGTTTCTGGAGAAATACCTACGACGTGGGTCACCAACGTCGTCATCCTCGTCTTGGTGTTCCCAAGAGTCACCATGGTCGTGGCGCGAGTCGTGACTCTGTGAGTATGGGTCACCCCAACAAGCAGTTAGCCACAACAATGAACACAAACAACACATATATACCTACCACCTTAACTTACACCTCCAACTGCCTCGTTGTACCACCACAACGGTTGTTAGACCAAGCAGATGCCTGCCATCTTCAAGTTATCATCAACTCACTACCACATTGAGGCAACTCATCAATACTTTGTGAGTGACTTAGCGTAAGTTTGTGAGGTATCATTGTTACACCAACGTCTTTAACTTTAGTCAACACTGAACCAATTACATGAAAAAGCAATTATCAGCAAAAATAATTGTTAAAAAATTGCAATTAAAAAACACATTAGGTATAATATAAACTTACTGAGACAGTGATAGGATAAATAATATACATGTGTAAGTCGTACATGAATGGTATTCAATACAGACAAGATGAAATATTAGACAATGTGCAACATGTGCAGAGACATATATATATATATATAGGTCTTTCGTGTTGCAATCAACACATCATCAGGAACTTGCAATGCTACAGAAAAGAGGAGAAAGTTATTTTGTATCTTGTATCGTTTGCTCGCGATGATTTATATATATATATATATATATATATATATATATATATATATATATATATATATATATATATATATATATATATATATGTACGAATGGTATATAATACCGACAAGATGAGAGTAAGACACATGTGCAACATCTGGGTATCTTTATTGTAGACGTTTCGCCATCCAGTGGCTTTATCAATACAAATTCTAGGACATAACTTGAAGACAGTAGAACTATGTACAGAAGATGAGGTAATCAGTCCACGACTATGGTGCTGTTCGCACCTACTCCTAGGTTGAGGGACTGATTACCTCATCTTCTGTACATAGTTCTACTGTCTTCAAGTTATGTCCTAGAATTTGTATTGATAAAGCCACTGGATGGCGAAACGTCTACAATAAAGATACCCAGATGTTGCACATGTGTCTTACTCTCATCATATTATATATATTATATATATATATATATTATATATATATATATATATATATATATATATATATATATATATATATATGTACTCACCTAGTTGAGGTTGCGGGGGTCGAGTCCGAGCTCCTGGCCCGTGTGTGTGTGTGTGTGTGTGTGTGTGTGTGTGTACTAACCTAATTGTGGTTGCAGGGGTCGAGACTCAGCTCCTGGCCCTGTGTGTGTGTGTGTGTGTGTGTGTGTGTATCGTGCCGAATAGGTAAAACTGGTCAATTAGGAAGAAATTTAAAATTAAGTCATTTCTAAAATTTTCTCTTATACGTTTAAAGATTTTTTTTCATTTATATTAATGTAAAAATTAATAATTTTGTACCAAAAGAATCTTAGGAAACTTACCTAACCTTATTATACCAAACGCAATTTAATTTAGCCTAACCAACTAAATATATTTTAGATAAGTTTACAATAATTTAATAATAAACAAACACAATAAAATATTTTTTTTTCGTTAGGTTCAGAATTACTTTTACGAAATTGCATACACAAATTTTCGCTTGCCTTATTCAGCAGGAAGAGCGTTGCTATTTAAGCCAAAAACGCAAGTTTTATCTATTCGACAAAATCATTCTGAACCTAACAAAATAAATATATTTCACTGTGTTTGTTTAGTATTAATTTATTGTAAACAAATCTAAAATATATTTAGTTGGGTTAGGCTAAAATAAATTTTTCTTGTTATAATAAGGTTAGGTAAGTTTTCTAAGATTCTTTTGATGCAAAATTAAAAATTTTTTACATTAACATTAATGAAAAAAATATATCTTTAAACGTTGTGGCATGCAAAGAGTACGTAACCTTCATTCGGCGCATGTACACACCCTCATTTACAGGCTATCTCCCCCAACCAGGAACCAGGTTGCTAAGAGTTGATGATGGGGCCCCGTCGTTCAACTAGTGACCAGGTTCTAGCCAATAAGATGATGGTTTTGGCAATCTCAGAGGTTATGTGGGTACCACTCTCCTGTCTGCCCTTGTCATTCCCATTCTAGAGCTGGTTGAAGCACGGTCTGCTATCTTGTGGCTTCTATTTCTGCCTTGCTTACCGTGGAGTGCACTATACTTATCACTGTACATAGTGTACATTTTGCTGTTCTAAATTGGTGAAGGATAATATAAGTCTAAACTTTTTCTGCTGTGTTTATTTTGCTCCCATTACACCCGGGATAACAGGCCATTTGTAATCCTGGGTTGTAATAAACGTATAAGAGAATTTTAAAAAGGACTTAATTTTAAATGAGTTCTTGATAATTGACCAGCTTTACATATTCGGCACGACACAGACACACACACACACACATACATATATATATATATTATATTATATATATAAACTATATATATATATATATATCATATATATATATATATATATTATATATATATATATTATATTATATATATATATATATAATATATATATATATATATATTATATATATATATATAATATATTTTATTTATTTTTATTATCACACCGGCCGATTCCCACAAGGCAGGGTGGCCCGAAAAAGAAAAACTTTCACCATCATTCACTCCATCACTGTCTTGCCAGAAGGGTGCTTACACTACAGTTTTTAAACTGCAAATTAACACCCCTCCTTCAGAGTGCAGGCACTGTACTTCCCATCTCCAGGACTCAAGTCCGGCCTGCCGTTTCCCTGAAACCCCTTAAAAAAAATTGTTACTTTGCTCACATTTCAACAGCACGTCAAGTATTAAAAACCATTTGTCTCCATTCACTCCTATCAAACACGCTCAAGCATGCCTGCTGGAAGCCCAAGCCCCTCGCACACAAAACCTCCTTTACCCCCTCCCTCCAACCCTTCCTAGCGCCCCCTACCCCGCCTTTCCCTTTCCACTACAGACTGATACACTCTTGAAGTCATTCTGTTTCGCTCCATTCTCTCTACATGTCCGAACCACCTCAACAACCCTTCCTCAGCCTCTGGACAACAGTTTGGTTTATCCCGCACCTCCTCCTAACTTCCAAAAACGAATTCTCTGCATTATATTCACACCACACTTTTGCCCTCAGACATGACATCTCCACTGCCCCCACCCTTCTCCTCTGCAACATTCATCACCCACGCTTCACACCATATAAAGCGTTGGTAAAACTAACTCTCATACATTCCCCTCTTGCCTCCAAGGACAAAGTTCTTTGTCTCCACAGACCCCTTTAAAGTGCACCACTCACTCTTTTTCCCTCATCAATTCTAGATTCACCTCATCTTTCATAGACCCATCCGCTGACACGTCCACTCCCAAAAATCTGAATACGTTCACCTCCTCCATACTCTCTCCCTCCAATCTGATATTCAATCTTTCATCACCTAATCTTTTTGTTATCCTCATAACCTTACTCTTTCCTGTATTCACCTTTAATTTTCTTCTTTTGCACACCCTACCAAATTCATCCACCAATCTCTGCAACTTCTCTTCAGTAATCTCCCAAGAGCACAGTGTCATCAGCAAAGAGCAGCTGTGACAACTCCCACTTTGTGTGTGATTCTTTATACTTTTAACTCCACGCCTCTTCCCAAGACCCTCGCATTTACTTCTCTTACAACCCCATCTATAAATATATTAAACAACCACGGTGACATCACACATCTTGTCTAAGCCTACTTTTACTGGAAAAAATTTCCCTCTTTCCTACATACTCTAACTTGAGCCTCACTATCCTCGTTAAAACTCTTCACTGCTTTCAGTAACTACCTCCTACCACCATTAACACTTGCAACATCTGCACATTGCCCCCTATCCACCCTGTCATACGCCTTTTCCAAATCCATAAATGCCACAAAGACCTCTTTAGCCTTATCTAAATACTGTTCACTTATATGTTTCACTGTAAACACCTGGTCCACACACCCCTACCTTTCCTAAAGCCTCCTTGTTCATCTGCTATCCTATTCTCCGTCTTACTCTTAATTCTTTCAATTATAACTCTACCATACACTTTACCAGGTACACTCAACAGACTTATCCCCCATATAATTTTTGCACTCTCTTTTATCCCCTTTGCCTTTATACAAAGGAACTATGCATGCTCTCTGCCAATCCCTAGGTACCTTACCCTCTTCCATAACATTTATTAAACAATTGCCACCAACCACTCCAAAACTAATCCCACCTGCTTTTAACATTTCTATCTTTATCCCATCAATCCCGGCTGCCTTACCCCCTTTCATTTTACCTACTGCCTCACGAACTTCCCCCACACTCACAACTGGCTCTTCCTCACTCCTACAAGATGTTATTCCTCCTTGCCCTATACACGAAATCACAGCTTCCCTATCTTCATCAACATTTAACAATTCCTCAAAATATTCCTTCCATCTTCCCAATACCTCTAACTCTCCATTTAATAACTCTCCTCTCCTATTTTTAACTGACAAATCCATTTGTTCTCTAGGCTTTCTTAACTTGTTAATCTCACTCCAAAACTTTTTCTTATTTTCAACAAAATTTGATGATAACATCTCACCCACTCTCTCATTTGCTCTCTTTTTACATTGCTTCACCACTCTCTTAACCTCTCTCTTTTTTCTCCAATTACTCTTCCCTCCTTGCATCACTTCTACTTTGTAAAAACTTCTCATATGCTAACTTTTTTCTCCCTTACTACTCTCTTTACCTCATCATTCCACCAATCGCTCCTCTTCCCTCCTGCACCCACTTTCCTGTAACCACAAACTTCTGCTGAACACTCTAACACTACTTTTTTAAACCTACCCCATACCTCTTCGACCCCATTGCCTATGCTCTCTTTTGCCCATCTATCCTCCAATAGCTGTTTATATCTTACCCTAACTGCCTCCTCTTTTAGTTTATAAACCTTCACCTCTCTCTTCCCTGATGCTTCTATTCTCCTTGTATCCCATCTACCTTTTACTCTCAGTGTAGCTACAACTAGAAAGTGATCTGATATATCTGTGGCCCTCTATAAACATGTA